TAGTTCTGCAATTCTTCCAGTGGGTGACAGTGAGGACAGAGACACTTAGGGCCCCTGGGAATGGCTCAGTAGTGGACAGGGACAGTGCCCAGAGCTTCCTCAAGTCCCCCAGTGATGTTCACACCTTGGGAGGACAAAGGCCCAGGTTAGGAGAGAGAGAGTAGTTAGGGCCCCTGTCCGCATTGCCTCTTTTCTCTGAAAAGAGGTCCTCTCTCAGCCAGACCTGGATCCCGACATAAACCCCATGACATAATTTGCCAGGCCCAATGGAAAATGAAAACGTGGGTCTCCCCTCACCCCCCGCCCCGCAAAATTATTACGAATTCCAAGAGAACAACAGCAGAGCATTGAAGCACATGTGGGGCCCTTCTGCGTGCTAGGTCCTCTGGGACTGCAAAGGTCACACCCCCAGGAACCTGACTCTGTCTGCACCCCTCCCCTAAAGACAGGCTTCAGGCGGGTCTCTGCCTTGTTGCCCAGTGCTGTCACTTCTGCCACTCTGGGTGCTGGGTCCTTGCTTGGCCACAAAAGCATTCTGTGACTTCTGTCAAAAAAAAAAAGGTTTTCAGGTGTGTGGCCCGAGATGTGTGGGGGGCTGGGAGAGCAGGGAGTGGGTGAAGGATGCCAGGGAGCCCAGCCCTGGCACGGTGAATGATACATGACGTTTCTGGTCCCCTCGTCCTGGGAACCTCCCAGGACCCTGTTGTGCACACAGTAGGCACATGCCTTTTCATGGATGAATGCGGGGCTCTCACAAAAGCCACAGGTGTGAGTTTGAGCACTGTGTGCAGAATGCACCTGAGAAGTGGCAGCTCATCTGGAAAGGAGGAGACAGCAGTCATCGGAGGCAAGGTGCTGGGGAGGACACCAAGTCTCCAGGCCTGTAGGTTACAACACTTTCCCCTGACCACTCCACCTTCCCCAGGGTCAGCCTCCCAGGAGCCCACTCTCTCCCACCCTGCAGGAGGCAGTGCTGAGAGCTGGCTGGCCAGGGAGGAGGAGAGCAGAGAGGTGGCAGGAGGGCCATGAGGAATGCAGCCAGGTTGGGTCCCCCAGAAGGGTCAGGCTAGTCACCTTGGAGGTGGCCTACCTCCTCAGTCACAGGGCAACCATGACACCAGAGCAGGCCTCCCTCCCGCCCCAGCCTGGGGCCTTCCACAGGCTCCCCTCAAATGCATCTCAGCAAGAGTTTTCTGAGACCCTAGTCCTCACCAGGGCCCCTGGATGAGGTGTGCGTGCACCTAGGCAGCTCCCACAGCTTTCTCCCCACCCAGGCCTGTGCCCTCTGACTCCTCTCACTCTTGTTGATGGACAAACATTCCTCGATTCACTTGTTTCCAGTTATTGACTATTGCGCATAAAGTTTTCTGAACATTCACTTACCGTTTCTTGTATGGGCGTAGATTTTACTTGCTAGACAGCCCTGAAGAGAGGGGATGGTCAGGCCCATTCCACAGATGAGGAAAATGAGACTCTGAGAGGGAAGGCACTTGCCCTAAGGCACAGAGCCAGGAAGTGGCAGCACTGGGCCTCGAATCCAGAACCCTCTGATTCAACTGTGTGCTCTGCCCACTGCAGTCTGTTCCCACTGCCTTCGAGGGGCTCACAGTGTCATTTGGGACAATAGCACCACCTCTCACCACTCTCTGGTGACACCCACCCTCCCACCCACCCAGGCTGCCCCTACCTTTCCCGTCTCCCTTCATTGAACCAGAACCCCACCCCTCATGGCTTCCCACCACCGAGGTTCATCCTGCCTGCACTCTCCCAGCCCCCTGAGACGTCTGGTTTGGAGACTTCCTGGGCATCCATCTTGCTCCTCCTCATCGTATTTGTCACCATCGGCACCAGGCCCTGGTGCACTATCTCCTTCCAACTTCGCTGATACTCTGCAGGGGTTACTGTTCCTCGTGGCATGCATGGCAGAACAGACTCAGAGAAGGGAAGCGATTTGCCTGAGGTCTCTGACCCAGCTCTGCCACTGTCTCCACAAGCGACCCTGGCCCCACCTTTTCTCTCTCTGGCCCTTAAGATCCCCATCTCTCAAAGCACAGAATTGGACTAGATGTACTCTGAGGGTGCTCAAGCTCTGAGGTCTGCTGTCTTAGTCACATCATCTCTCTGGCCCTTGGTTTCCTCACCTGAGTCATAAGGGTAAGAGTATGTCCCCAGTCCTGCCCGGTCCAGCACCCAGGAAAGCTGTGAGCAGTTGCTGTGGCCTGTGCATGAAAGCAAGTAGGAAATGGGTAAAGTAGTGTGCAAACAGGATGTGCACGTGCCACCCAAGCACTCCATGCGTGTCTGAGAGGGGAGGGCGTCTGGAAAGCATCTGGGATCGATGTCCCTCCCTGCCCGCCTGAGCCCCGTGACCTTGGGCCAGTCACTTCACCTCTCAGCACCTCCATTTCCTCATCTGCACAGTCGGGTTACATTGCCCACCTCATAGTCTCAAAAGACAACACCGAGTAGTAGGGATGTGGACGGTGTCAGAAATCTAGCACCACAAGGACCCCCACCCCAAACCCATCACCTTTTTTCCAGTGAGGAGATTGAGGACCCGGCAGAGGAAATGACTTGTCCAATGTCAAGTTCCCCGGGTTCCAATTCTGGATGACTCCATGTTACAAGTGCCCTTGATTTTGAAACTAACAACATAGAAATGATACAAATCTGCAGGACATCGCACACTTCAAATATGACTTTACACTGTCCTAACGCACCCTCTCAGTATCCTGGAGATGCCAGCACTACAGCATCCATGTCAGAAATGGACTCTCGCACTCGAAGGTGACACAACAGTCCCTTGCCAGGCCGCCTACACTAGTATGTGGTTCAGCAAATGTAGGTAATTTTATTTCGAAATAGGTAACATCCGCAGGTTACGAAGTCCGAGAAATGAAACGGGGTGCACACACTCAATGGCCACATAAAAGAAAATTACAAAGACTGTGGGTGCTAAGACTTGATGAGGATGTGGAGCCAAGACCCCCCCTACACTGTCCATGGAGGTCTTAATTTGTACAAGGGCTTTGGAAAACGTTCAGGATTAGAACGTGTTGATAAACAGGCAAAAGTACACCTTCTGAAAGCAGACAAGGAAGAAGTGGGAAGATGTAACTCTACTACGAGTTATTCATTGTTTTTAGCTAAGGTTCTGAGGCAGGCGAGAGCCAGATATTCGTGTGCCTGATGGGATGGCAGCAGCTTCGGATTATGCTTTATCCTGTTTCCGAAGCTAACTAGGAAACTGTAGGGTCCCGGCAACTGGAATGGGGGACACGGGGAGGAGCCCTAGGACCGGGTCACCCTCGCAAATCTCCTCTTGCTTCCTTCCCTCCACATGGAAAAAGGGCACAAGGCACAAGGTTGGGACGCAGAAGGAGCAAGGGCAAAAGCAAGAATCAATGTAGAAGGACATTCCCCAGGAGATGGAGTCCAACCTCAGCTGTAGTTCCAAATTCTTGTCCTGAAGCACACTTGGTTCATCTGTGTGAGGGTGGAGTGGGGAAGACAAGAGAGGCTGGCTAGAGCCCCCTGCTTGGTGCCCATAAGTAGAATTCTTGAATGACTGACTGATAAAGCCACGAACTTTTCATTACAAGAGGTCTACGTTTTGGGCATTGTTTCTTAGCAAACCGAGTTCCTCTAAATTAAGCTAATAGTCAAGGTTTCTCTCTCCTTTTTAAATTTTTTTTTTCCTATATTGAATAAATCGGACATGTAACACCGTGTGAATTTAAAACGTACAGTGTGGTACTTTCATGCATTTATATATTGTACTATTGTTGCAGCTGTAACAGTATTTATCACATTACATACGTATGGTACAATGTTATTGTCTGCATTCAATATACTGTACATTAGATCTCTATGGCTTAATTAGTACTGATTTCAATTTTGTACATACACTCTCTCATCCCCCGGTAACCGCCAATTTACTGTTCGTTTTTATTTTTTATTTTTCCCTACAATTTTTAGATTCCACACACAAGTGATATCGTACAGTACCTATCTTTCTCTGTCTGACTTGTCTAGCTTAGCATAATGTGCTCAAGCTTCATCCATGTTGCCGCAAATGGCAGGATATCCTCCTTTCTCATGGCTGAATAATATTCCACTCTGTATATATACCACATCTTTTTTTTTTTTATCCATTCATCCGTTGATGGGCATTTGGGTGGTTGACTTATCTTGGTAATTGTGAATAATGCTGTGATAAACACTGAAGTACATATAGCTCATCGAACTCCTGTTTTCATTCCTTAGGGTGAATACCCAGCAGTGGAAT